CCCCCTGCGTATGTGTGGCTAGTTCTTTATTGTGTATGGACACATGTATGTATAGTTGCATGTGCACAGATGTGGAAGCCAAGGCTAATATTTGGAGTCTTTCTTAATTGAGGTCTGTTGTGGTTTGAATGGCCCATGTAATCTCAAATATTTGGGAGAGATTTTTTTTTTTTTCCAAGACAGAATTTCTCTGTGTAGCCTTGGCTGTCCTGGGCTCACTTTGTAGACCAGGCTGGCCTTGTACTCACAGAGATCCACCTGCCTCTGCCTCCCACAGTGCTGGGATTACAGGCATGTGCCACCATGCCCAGCTGGTAATCACAAATATTTAAATATTTGATCCCCAGTTGGTGGAACTGTTTGGAAAAGATTAGGAGGTGTGGCCTTGTTTGAGGAGGTGTGTCCCTGTAGGTGGGCTTTGAAACTTCAAAAGACTCAAGAGTCTGGTCTCTCAGAGTCTCTGTCTGTCTCTCTGTGTGTTTCTGTGTGTGTGTCTGCCTCTCGGCTGTGTCTCAAGATGTGAGCTGCTGCTCCACCACCATGCCTGTCTGTCTGCCTCTTCTATGATTTGACATGGCCATGGCGTCTCTCACTTGACATCTGTCCATCAGTGTGCTGCTGCAGCTCTGCTTCTGCCTTATTTTGAGCTCAGGGTCTTTTCATCTCCATGATGGAAATGATCTGACTGGCAGTTCTTTCTTTAAATCTGTCACGATGACTGTCCTTCTTCTGGCACTTCCCGTTGCTTTGTAAATGTCCTTTAGATGCTCCAAATTTAAACATGTCTGCACATGGTCTCAGTTCCTTCTGCTGACATGGCAGACGGTTCATTTACTCTGTGCCTCCCAAGTGACACAGTCTCTTAGACAGCCACAGCCTCCTCTTGTATCCCTCCCTGCTCTGGCAGACCCTCTCCCCGGCCTCCGAACTGCTCTCCGACGCTGCCTCCCAGCAGATGGCTGTGGCATCCCCTGATTCCTGGAGCACTTGGCTTTCCCGGCCACGCCATCTCACTATGGACACCTTCTTTACCTGGCTGGTTTTGAGCATGGTGATGCGTGCTGTTGGTCTCCCTCTACCAAACCTCACTAAACAGTTGCCTCCCTTTCTTCTGTTTGGGTCTTCAGTTTCTTCATATCTCCTTTGCCTGTCTTCCCTCTACCACAGCTGCCTGGCAGGCCACAGGCATTTCTGCCTTTTCCCCCTGTGCCGTGCACTCGGCTGCTCACATTCCCCGCAGAGCCTGCCCGTGTCCACCTCGTCTTGGTAAACTGTCTGTGCTTCGCTGAGCTCTTTGGCCTGGCTTCCTTTCTCTGGACTGCTGTCGCCACAAGTTCACATGGCAGCATGAACTTGGGAGAAAGGAGCCTAAAAGTGAGGTGGACTGAAGTCACATCCAATAGTCAACTTTATTCAGAGCATCAAGTCATTTATGTTCTGAGGTCTTTCTGAGGGCTAGGCAAGGTCATGTGAGCAAAAGTTCACTTAGTTCACAAGGACAAGGTCACATGAGTTTAGGCTATCTGCGGTCACAAGGACAACATCGTTCTGAACGATGGGTAAGATGCTGGGTGACCTGAAGTAAAGCCCTTCTGTAATTACACCTGGGAGGGACACAAAAGCTCATTCTAAGAACAGTCCCTGTCATGGAGGAACAGAGGCCACAGACTCCTGTCTCCTCACACAGCCACACTCATGTTCCGACAGAAAGCTGTTAATCCTAATCTCCCCAGGCCAAGAGTGGTGCTTCTGATGAGGAAAACCTTGGTTTTCGGGAAGGAGAGATACAGCCTGGCTGGTGACCTGATCTGACGTCAGAGCACAGCTGTGGTGATGGATGTTTTTAGCCCATTGTGTCATTGATTCACGTAGAAACTGTGCAAGAAGCAGCTAACTCACACCCATACCCAGCACCACGCTCTGTCCCTTAGGCTCACAGGCGCGTGAGCCAGTTTTCTGTCCACCGCATCACTCATCCAGAGTCCATGACTCTTGGCATCTGGAAACGCGAGCTGTACAAACCTGAAAAGAGCAGAGACGTGTGTTGCTCTCCCAACCCCTAGAAGTGGATTCTCTGGAGTAAGGACAGTGCAACCATTTACAAGTGACTCACTTCCTGAGAGCTTAGAGAAAATGTTTTCACTCTGCAGAGCCTTGGCCAAGGCCCTGGGCAGACTTCCTCCACCGCAGCACTGGGGTCACTGAGGAGAAAGGTGAGAGGCCATGGTCGGACCCTACGGCTCTCTTGAAGGGACCAGGAGCCCAGAGCCCAGACTTAGGCTGCCCAGTGCCAGGGATCATCCAGACAGCCAAAGACACAAACCCAGGACAGCGTCAGTCTCAGCCAGGGCCCGTTAGTGACAGGACGATTGAGTCTGTGCGCAAAAGGAACCAAGCACATAAAACATGCAAAGTTGGTCTGTCAGCTGCTGAAGAGAAACTTATTTTGTGTACACGTCAGTCCAGGGAACTGGAGCTACCGTCGGAGAGGTATAGTTCCCCTAGCCAGGTTTCTCTCTGTGTGTGTGTGTGTGTGTGTGTGTGTGTGTGTGTGTGTGTGTGTGTGCGCGCGTGCGCGCTTTCTCAACAGGAAACAGAACATAAACGCCCTGCCTTAGGGTATTTAATCTCGAATAGCCTAGCCTGAGGCGTGAAAACCAGACGCTTGATCAGGTATGTGTGCTCTGGAAGGGGGTTGCGAACGGTAGCGTATGAGTTGATGTTTGAACAGTAACACTAGTGGGAAGGTGCTGAAAGGGTGAAGGCTTTAAAAATTTAAAATACATGAGCAAAACAAAGCACAAGGCCAAACCTTAATCCCAAACAGCCACATCCCTGGCCTTTGCAGACCAGCTGGAGGATGGCACAGCAGGTAGGAAGGAGCTCTTGAAGAGCAAGCTCGGTGGTTTGTGCTCAGATCCAGCACAGGGTCAAGGGCCACATGTGGCTGCGCTTGTGGGTTGTCCCAGGACGGGCAAGCGGGGGTGGGGGAACAGTGGGGTTTGCTGGCTGCCAGCCTGGTTCCAAGAGAGACCCTGTCGAAAAAGAAGAAGGCAGACAGTGACAGAGCAGGGCACCAAAACTCCTGCCCTACACACATACACACACACACACACACACACACACACACACACACACACAGACGTGTATACTTGCACACCCACACAAACCTTCCTCACTTCCCGTACACTGTGCTGCTCTAACCCTGAGGGCATGGCTGCTCCACTTGGAGGGGAAGGTTTTCATTGTAGGTGTGAGGCAGAGTACAGGCAGAGCCACCTGAAGGAGTCCAGAGCAGGGAGAGGACGTACAGGACAGAACATGGCCAACGGAAGGGACTTGGGCATGAGGACGGAGAAAGAGGAAGACAGAGGATGAGGGCAAAGGTGACCGGGGAAAAGGGGCGAGAACACTTGGCTGAAATAGGGTTCTTGGAGAATGGGAAGCTGGGGGTGAGAGGGGGAGAAGCCCAAGAGTCGGAGAAGTTTAGGGTAGGGGGTGAGAAGAGCAGAGAGGAGCCAGGGTGCCAATATGGACTGCGTCTCAAATGCCTGTGATTCTGAGAGAGCCTGGTGGCCAGCGTGTGCTCTGGTATGCTAATAACACAGGCAGCCATTGTGTGGAGTCTTTTGGACCTTACAGTAATGATGACTTTTAAGATAGCAGACGATGTTTTTAGAGTGCATAAGTATCTCTGTAGCCAACAGTTTTACATGTTGCTTTGATTTCACTTTTCCCTCTGAGACCTGGTTCATATTAGACCATAATCTAAGTGAATTGCTTAGAGGAAATAATAAAATAATAATAAAATATTCTAAATAGAAGCCTCAATTCATAGCAATTCATTTATTTGCTGAGGGCTGAATGACTCATGTATTTGGGGAAACAAATGGGTCAACAGGAATAACCTTTTTAACACCTAAGAAGACAAGTGTTTCTGGGTGTGTGTGTGTGAGAGAGAGAGGAGACAGGCTGGAGAGAGAGAGGAGACGACAGGCTGGAGAGAGAGAGGAGACAGGCTGGAGAGAGAGAGGAGACAGGCTGGAGAGAGAGA